GGGGGTCACGGCGCCGACTTCCACGCCCAGAACGCGGGCCAAATTCTCCTTCATCAGTCCTCGCACGTCGGGGCCGTGCTGCATCAGCGCTTGCTGCCACTCGCGCCTCCGAGCGATTCCCCCCATCTGAGCCGATGCGTGCGCGGGGTCGCCCGAGGTCGCGGGCGGAGATTGAGCTTGGTCGCTCAGTGTCCCCAGAAGCGGGTGGAAGGCTGGGCGATGGCCCCGCCCCTGCTGCAAGGAAAGGGACTGGTGCAGGCACTGAAGCATGAGGCTGAAGTCCGTCGGATTGGCCGCAAGGGGCGGCTCTAACCCGTCGGCGCCGCCCGCCTCGGCAAAGCTGTCGACCGCAGCGGGATGGGCTAGCCCAGGCGGCGGCGGGGGGCCCATCGGTCCGGAAGCGGACGAAGGGGCCCGAGGGACAGCAAGAGAGCGCGCCTTCTCCCACGCCGAGACCAGCGCGGAGGTGGGTCCCTTGGGGCGCGCGGAGACCCGATGTGGGGCCACGGGCGCGTGGGACCAGACGGCCTCGATCCCCGCAGGATCCAGCCCGAGGCGCGCCGCCTCGTCGCTGAAAAGCTGAGGCACCTCGGGCCGAGCGATCTGGGCAGCCGGAGCGGGGCCCAGCGGTTCGGGTCCGCCGACCATCGTGGAGGCCGCGTGGGCTGCAAGCAAGGCGCGCATTTCGGCAGCTACCTCGGCGCGGGTCCTGGGAGCCCCGTCGTCCAGAGACGCCGCAGGAGCACCAGGAGCAATCGGAGCAGGACCCGCGACCCGTGGCGGCGCGGCGGCGCCAGCGCGCTTGGCGGGCGGGCCGCGCGGCGCTCCAGCGACCGCGGGGGCTCGCGCACTTGGGGCCGCGCGGTCGGCTTCCCCGTCGGCCGCGACCCCCTCGGGCTCCTCCATCTCGTCGGCAGAGTGGTAGGGGGTAGCCCGATCGGCCCCTGGGAGAGGCTCTTCCCCTGCGGTAGGCGGGGCGCCGTGCAAACGAGCGTAGCCCTCGCGAAGCACCCGCACCCCCGAAGGATGCGGCCAATAGACGCGGCTGCGCACCTCGGCGAAGGGAACGATGCCTGCGTCGTCGCCGACCTCTAGAGGGTACAGCGACTCGAGCTCGAGCTCGGCAACCTCGATATCTATAACGAGGACGGATGCGGTAGTGGCGAGCGGCCGTGAAGCGGCCCCCTGGAGCTGGACGTCCACTAGCTGGAAGGGGCCTATCATCCCAGCAAAGCCATCCGCCTCGGCAGCCTCGAGCTCCGCTATAGAGCGAAAGGCGCCAGGCAGGGCCAGCAGGATGCCCCCTTCTCGAGAGGCGAGGGGGATAGCCGCCCAGCTGGTGTCGCCGTCGTCTAGGCGCCATCGTGCGTAGTCGCGCGCCGTGGGCGCAGCGAAAGGGTGGAGCTCGGGCCAAAGGGGCCCTCCGCCAACTGGTGGCAGCTCCGCCATCAGTGGGCGCCGCCGTGGACGCCGCCGCCCGCACGCTGGGCGTCTGCCCGCTCGAGCGCTTGAGGTCGAGGCGGAGCCCCGAAGGCCAGCGCTCGCGCCGCACGGCGGTCCTGCTCAGGTGAAGCAGAAACCGCGCCGCGCGGCCAGGCGGAGGGCCAGAGCCTCCGCCACACGTACGGGCCCAGCAGCCCGAGGCAGCAGCCCGCGCAGGCGCTGCAGGCGGCCGTCACCCAGAGGAGGGCGGCGACCGTGCTGAGCAGCCAGGGAGAGACCCCGCCGCTCAGGTCCACCGCCAGCCCCAGGCAGACGGTGGGGCAGGTGGAACCCGCCGAAGGGAGAGGGCAGTAGGCCCCCTCACCCTCGGACGAGTCCGCCTGCTGGATGGACCAGGCAGGCGATGGAGGCCCCTGGTCCTGAAGCACAGAGAGGGGGGCAGCCACGAGCCGCTCGTAGAGCGCGGCCCGCAGCCCCCTGAACAAAATCTCCCCAGCGCCCTGGAGAGCCGCTTGTGCGACCGCCTGCATAAGGCGCCCGCGCGCGCGGCCGACGGGGGGCACTTGGGCAGAGAAGCTGCGGAGACAGCAGGAGCTTGCTCACAGAGAATAGAAGAGGCATATATATATATATATATATATATATAGCTCGCAGCGGCTCCCGGGCCAGGAATCCTTTTCCTGCTGGGGCACCAGAGGGCCAGGCATTATCAAGAGCCGATCGAGCTGAGAGGCGGCAGAGGCTGGACGTGGAGCGCGACAGCGCTCGTGTGAACCACATGTGTGGCCCGCACCCGTCAAATTTGAGCGAAGAGGCGTGTCGGGATGGCCATGGGAAGGACTAAGAGCCAAATTATGATGAGTACGTCGGACCTCTGCCTCTGCTTAGCCCTCAATGGTGAAAACTACCAATTCGCAGCGGCTCCCGGGCCAGGAATCCTTTTCCTTCTGGGACACCAGAGGGCCAGGCATTATGAAGAGCCGATCGAGCTGAGAGGCAGCAGAAGCTGGACGTGGAACGCGACAGCGCTCGTGTGAACCACCTGCGTGGCCCGCGCCCGTCTCCGAAGGTACAATTGGCCGAAGGCCGTACATGCAAAGAAAATCAAATCATGTCATCGCAAGAGACAGGAAGCGAGGCCGGGCTGAACGCGCATCGCATCGATGATGCACTGAGTGGCGGCCAGAGCGAATGGGCGAGGATATTCGGCGGCCACCGCGGTGCGCTTTCGCCCCTGCTCGTCGTTGCCCTCTAAACAAAAAACGCGATGATTACCTGTCCTGCTGCAGATGCCTCTCTTACCTGCGCGCGCGCGGTCCAGCGCGCGCGTGGAGCAGGCGCCCCGGGACAAGATGGGGGTAGCCGGGGTAGCCTTCTTAAGCCCCATATTGGCACTAGTGAATACAAACTTATGGCAACAAGATCTGCGACCGAGACGAGCGAACTGTGGGTGCGACCAGATCTGCGAGGTCTGAGGATTCTCGAGAAAAGCGGGAATGCGGGTGGCCAGGCAGGCACGAATTATTTTAGTAGTCACACGCACAGTGGCACTGCCAGCGGCAACTCGGGCCTGTTCTGCCTCGGAGAGGCCGGGAAGCCCAAGTGGGTGGATGTCCGATCTGAGAGGGCGCCGCAAGGCGCTCGTCAAGCTGGTGCAAGGGGTGCCCAGCCAGACAGCGCCGACGGCTCGAGATCGGATCCATCCGACGACGGTGGCAATGAATGCTGGCTGCACGTGGTCCTCCAGCGGGCTGCGACGCCAGTCCAGCCCGAAGGCGGCGAGGCCACGGGCGAGCACCGCCTTGGCAATCGTGCCGGCCCCGCAGAAGAGCTCCAGGACAGGAAGGCGCCGCAGGGCTCGGCCCGGCGCTGCCGCGCGCCGGCACTGCCGCTGCAAGTGTTGCCTCGCGGGGTCCGCGGGCGGGCCGCCCTCGTCGGCGCCAGCAGCGCTGCCGCCGGCCGCTTGCGCGCCGCCCGCTTCCTCAAGCGGCCGCGCTGGGAGGCGCGCGCCGGCGCCCGGAGCAGGGCCGCGACGGCGGCCGGGGCGCGGCCAGTCACAAGCCAGCTGGGCAGGCAGCCGCCGATCAGCGCGACGAGGTTGCTCTCGACAAAGGCCCCGAGCTCCATGACCTCGGGCAGAATCCAGGAGCGCAGCGCTCGTCCAGAAACTTGGTCTCCATGGTGTCGCGGTTCAGGCTTTTGGATGTCCGCCGGCGCCCGCGCCGCTGGATCTCGGCAAGCAGGCGTCTCTGGGAGAGCGTGTCGTTCGAGCCCCCCCCCCCCCCCGGCGCAAGCTGCGCAGGTGGGGGCGAAGGCGGTCCAGCGACAGTCGCCGACGCGCCTGGTTGAACAGCGTGCCCAGGCGGCGCACCTCCTCCCCTAACAGCGGCTCCGAGAGCGCCGGGGACAGCTTCAGAGCCAGCAGCAGCGGGTGAGCCAGGCCTCGCGGTCGAACAAGCTGCTCTCGTCGTTCACCCCCGTCTTGCCTGGCTCCTTCCCGCTCTTGCGAAGGAGCAGCCCGAAGAACTGGTGGCCTGGCCCCGCCGCCTCGGACGGCGCAATGAGGTGGCGACCGCAGAGCTTCGCCGCCTCCCCCAGCCTGACGTACGAGGCGAAAATGACGAGGATGCAGATGGCTAGCCTGGGGGAGCTGTCGTGAATCAGGAGGCCGGCCAAGGCGAACCCCGCGCGGCGCGGCAGCGGCAATCGGGTGCGCGCAGGTGCGCGCCGTGCCCCAGGCCGCTGCCGCTCGGTGAGCCCTCGGCAACAGCACAGGGGTCCGCTTGTGGAAGGAGCCGAGGAAGTGCGCCACCGCCGCCAGGAGAGCGTTCCCCTGGTTGCCGCCGCCGCCGAGGAACTCGCTGTCCATGAACTCCACCAGCGCCTGGTCCAGGCCCGCATGGCTCGTCCAATCCAGGCGGCGCCCGGCACAGTGCACGACGCAGCTGGCAAGCACTCCCCGGTAGAGCCGCGTGGTCGAGCTCCTCGCCGCCAGACGCTCCAGCAATGATAGGCCCGCGACCGTCGCCGTCTCCGCCGCGAGCTCCCGCGCATGGCGCGCCCGCTCGGTGCGGAGAGCAGGCGGCGCCGGCGCGGAGAGCCGCCGAGCCCCCGCCGCCATCTGCGACAGCACCAGCAGCGACACGAGCAGCCGCATGAGCCAGCAGCCCGCCCGCCGGGGGCCGCGGGGCCGTCCGGCTGCCCTACCAACCAGCGCGCCCACGGCTGAGTGCGTCCGAGGGGTTGGACTCGGAGGGGACCCACCGCACTGAGAGGGTTGAGCCAGTGGCCACAGAGGGCGCACAGACCTTTCGAAGAGTGCTCTGCAGATGCTTGCTGCGGGCTCGGCCCTTCCCAGCGGACAGGACCAACTGCAGGTTGTCGGACAAGGTTAAGAAGCGGGGCCCGAACGCGGATGTGGACCGAAGGAAGTGCCGATACCTGGGCACGAGAACCCCCCCCCCGCCCCCTCGAGGGCCAAGATGTTGGCCCTCCCGTCGATGTGCGCCGCGGCGACCGAGCCCCAGGCGGACCCCCCGAACGAAGCGAGCAGGAACCTCATCGATGTCCACGGCAGGTCGCACGTCCAGGATCGACTTGTCGGTGTCCCTGGGGGGCCCTGGCGACTGCATCTCCCACGGGCCCGCGAGGGCCCCGCCCTGGACGTCCACGAACGACGAGTAGTCATCGACCCCATCACCAGATACACGAGCGTCATTCCCGAGATCAGCGACGACGTCCCCGAGCGGCGCGCCCGAAGCATCGAGGTTGAGCCCGGCCGTCCTACTCCTTGCCTGAGCCCCGCCCTCGACTTCGCACCTCCACTTTTCAGCGACGCCCCCGATGGCGCCCACGAGGTCCTTTGGGGCGCGGCGAGCAACGACGCCCAGCCCAAAAGGCGAGGCGTCCGCGCAGGCGACTCGCCCGTGCCACGCAGCGCCAAGGCCCGCCGTGCACAGCGGCAGCAGGTCGTGAATTAGCTGGAGCTCGTGGCGGACGGTGGGCCAGAGCGGGGCAGCAGTTCGCCCAGTGGCCTCGATGTAGGCGTAGGTCGCCCCTAGGATGCACAGCAGCTCCCTCCGCAACGGCAGGGGCCAAGTGATGTGACCCGTCAGCACGCGGAGCAATAAGCCGTTGATAACATGCCTCCGGAGCGCCGCGCGGATGGCGGCGCGCAGCCTCCAGATGTTGCGGGTCCTGAGGCTGAGCCAGCGCCCCTCGGGCAGCGACGGCCCCAAGAAGTCGCGGCCCTGGGAAGGCGCCTCGAGCTCGTGCACAGCGAGCCCGTGGCGCGTCGAGTCCTCCGCGATGGCCTGCAGCCGAGCGCTCACCGTCTGTGGGGAGCCGCCGAGGACGAAGTAGTTGTCCACGCAGCCGGCACCCACGACATAATCAGGGTCGTCGGTGAGCTGGCAGCCGCAGTGGCCGTCAAGGATCAGGTCGCTAGGCGAGAAACCTGCACGACCGAAGGATGTCTGAAGAACCGCCTGGCATAGGTGCAAGGCCCAGCTGAAGCCCATCGGCAGCACGACAACCTGAGGCAACAAAAGCGACTCGCCCTCCACCCCCGCCACTGCGATCCCGTGCGACGAGAGATACTTGACGGGAATCGGCGGCAACGCGGGGTACTCCCCCATGCCCTCCGGGACCCGCGCGCGGTAGAAGGCCACGTCGAGGTCCGCCGAGGCAATGTAGAACCGAACGTCGCCCGACTCGAGGCGCCCCCAGGCTGGTGCCGACGGCAGCTGGGCGCGGGGCGCATCGACCAACGCGCAGTTGGCCAGGCGAGCGTCGAAGATGACCCTGAGCTTGCCACTCTTCTTCGGCACAAAGAAAGATCCCCATGTTGCCCCGACGCCCTCGCGACGGGGAGGAGGTGGGCACGCTGCGCTCCACCATCGCTCTGAGAGAGGAGGCGTAGTCCAGCGGTGAACGGAGCAAGGCAGGATCAGTATGCGTGCCCTGCGGGCATGCCCCCGCTCGAAGCTGCCGCGCCTCCTCGGGCCCACGAAGCATTTGGCACCTCCACTCCCGCAGCGCGGCGGAGTCTCGCTCGCCCAGCAGACCAAGGAGCGGCGCGGGGGGCTGCGACATGTCCGGCCAGGAGACGAGGCCTGGCACGTAGGGATTGGCGGGCCCGCCGCCGTCAGGGTACAGCGCGGACCCAGCAAGGAGCTCCTGGAAAGCCCCGTCGGGATCTGAGACGCCGTTGCGATGCTCATCCGGCTCAGGGCCGAGGGCGACGATCGAGTCCCAAATGCGAGCGGCGGCGCAGCGCTGCCCGGCAGACGGCGCCGGCACGGGCGAGGACTGGTCGCCGTAGAGGTGATTCAGGGCATGCACGGCGGCGCTGGCACACGCGTGGCTGGCGCGAACGCGCCGTCGAGTCCCCGACGACCCAGGCGCCGCATCCGCCGCAGCCAGCAGCGGAAGAGGAAACAAGTCCCGATGTCGGTCCTCCTCCTGCGGTCGGTGCCCAGCGTCGCCAGGGGCGCGGGGCGCACATGTGGCGGGATCCGCGATGGCCGAGGGGGGCAGGGGCGGCGGCTGGCCAGGCCATCCGCCCCGGGGCGAGTCAGGCATCGGCCCCGGCGGCGTTGGGCGAGCCGCCCCAGCCGCCGCGGCCGCCCCGTCTCCCCCTCCCGCGCCTGGCGCCAAGCTGGCCGGAAACGCCCCGGGCGAGGGCGCGCTCCTCGCGCGCCTTCCTCCTCTCCTTCGCCACCGCCATCTCCCGCTGCAGTTCCTGCGCGAGATGGTCTCGCAACGCGGGGCACGCGCAGACCGCCCCGTCAAGCTCCTGCGAGCCCATCATGACTGCGCGATCCGTAGCGCCAGGCTCGCTCAGGGCCACCATCTCACGGAAGCGCTCCTCCCGCGCCTGCTCCGATCGAGCGATGAGCTCCAGATGCCCCGAGCTCGCGACGTGCACCTGGTCGTGGGTGACGGCCGGCTCGAGGACCATGCACCCCATCTGGTGGACCTCCACGCCTGGGTGCTCTGGACCAAGCCCCGTCTCTGCCAGCCACCGCTGATGATGAGCCGTTGGAGTCCCAGACCGCTGTGCCATATACTGCAACACCCACAGCCGCGTGCGCGGCCCGCGCACTCAGGCCAGGGACGCTCGATCATCAATGCCACCATGCTGCGGAAGTCCGCGTGCCGCACGCCTCGCACATCCCTCACGATGGCGAAGATGCGGGCGTCGCCGCCGGGGCTGGCGAGTGGCGGCATCACCCTCTGCCCCTGAGCGCAAGTCCCTCAGCGAGGGGGCTGGCGGCGGGGACAGCGGCGGCCGCAAGCACAGCCGGCGCCGCGGCCAGCGCAGAGGGGCCCGCCGGCGCGAGGAGGGCTCCCTCGGCCCCAGGGGCGGCGGGGCCGCAGGCAGCAGCGGCGGCAGCTGGGGCTGGCGCCAGTGCGAGCGCGCCCTCAGCGGCTCCGCAGGCATGCCCCCCGAGCGCGGCCACGACGGCGCCGAGGCTGCCGGCCTCCGGGCCAGGTGCAGCGCCAGGCAGCGCGGCGGGGACGCCCGCCGCCGGCGCCGCGGGCGCGGCCCCCGCGAGCACCCTCCCCGCAACGTTGGGCACCACGGGCCCGGCAGGCGCAGCCAAGCCCTGGCGGGCACAGGCGCGGCCAGCCGCGGCCGTCAGCGCGGCCGCCGTGGGGATGGCCCTGAAGCGGGAGTGCCTCGCCGCGGGCGCCCTGGGGAAAACCCCGCCGGGTGCCCCGCCAAGCAGCAACTCCCAGTGGCGCACGTCCGCTGTGCCGACGAGCTGCTCGTCGCACTCGTCGCCGTCCACCGTGATGATCGACGCGGTGCCAGGCGCACCGGGGTTCAAGGCCACGACGACGCGCTCGTGGATGAGCGCTCTGCCCGCGACGCTGTGCTGCACCCCGATGAAGTCCCCGACGGCCACGCCCGCCGCCGCGACCGAGGGATGCGCTGGAGGACCAGGCGCCGCCATCACTGCAGGGCGAGCTTGCGCTCGCGAAGCGCCCTCACCTGCGCCCGCGCCTCCTCGCCCAGCTCGTCGGACTCGGCGTGGCCAGCGGACGGGCCGGCAGAAAGGCTGCGGAGGCGGAGGACGGCCCAAGCGCCCGCAGCGCCGACGGAGGCGCCAGCGAGCGTGGCACCCACCACGCAGGCCACCAGCACCGCGGTGGAGGGGCCGGACTGGGAGTCACCCCGCAGCACCGAGCAGTGACAGTGCAAGTCGGGGCACTGCAAGGTGGGCTCGCAGGTGCACACGGGGCAGACCGCTGGGTCGCCGCGCGCCGCCCAGACGGCGAGGCCCGTGCCAAGGCTGCGCCCCAGCTCCGGCACCAGCGCGCTGAGGGCGGAGATCATGGACGCCAGGCGCTGGGGCCCCCAAAAATTGAGAGCCAAAGTATGAGTACGTCGGACCTCTGCCTCTGCCTAGCCCTCAGCTGTGCAAAAACTACCATATACACATGTATAACCATGTATGTCTGCATGTCTATATATATATATATGTATATATATATATACACACATATATATATATATATATATATACACATATACATATATATATATATATATATACAGATACACACACACGCCCTGGGCTAATGACAGGCTCTCGCATGACCTGGTTGGGCCCGAGAGCGAGGCCCCCAAGACTGCTCAAGAGGGCCCCAGGTAGCCGACAGATCGCTCAAAGACGTCTGAGATGGCATCACAGTGGTCCAAGGCCTTCAAGACGCCCGAAACGGTCTCTGTGAGGCCTCCCATGAGGGCCCCAAGAAGCACAAATCATGGACCGCCCCCAGGTGTTTGACGAATGTTCGCGTTCTCGCCGCTTTCCGACGCTCCAGAGCGCGCCACGAGGCCACCCGACCACCTCAAAACTGTCAAAGAGGCCTCCGAGAGGCCCCCAGAGCGGCCCAAGACGGCCCCCCAAAAGGCCCCAATAAGGCCCCAGACGGCCCCAAGGCGGCCCCAAGCCTTCCGCCCCAACATGCCCCCTGGAGGCCCCAAGAGGCGCCCAGGAGGCCGTTTATGGTGGCCCCCCCCCCCCTCCCCCCCCCCCCCAGATGCCCGCAAGGGCCACCACCTCCCCGTGAAGCCACCCCCCCCCAGAAGAGGTTTCCAAACTGCCTCCACGAGACACCCGAGAGGCCCCCCACGAGATCCCAACGAACATCCAAGATGCTGCACACCTACGGCCCAGGCACGGTGGTGGGATGCGTCGAACACCCTTGGATTGGTGTATAATAGATGCAACTACGCAACTGCATATATGCACACATCAATGCGTACGGGTACATACACATACGTGTATCTGCGCATGTCTGAGTGTCCATGTGCTTACATGTATGTCCACGTATGCATCCCTCATCTACTGGTATATCAGTATACATGTGTATTGTTACACATATACGTACAAATACGTTCATGTATACATGCGCTCATACATCGATATGGAGATAGTCGTCGTTCCCTGCCTTTCGACCCCGTCTTGAATATTCATAAACACATGTAGGCACGTCGAACATTTTCTGTATCCGTTCATACACAATTGGATGCATGGGTCGCCACATGCACTCAGTTACCCATCGCAGATGTGTATAATGGTACGTCCATATATATATATGTGTGTATATATATGCATATCACCCCTGTATCAGCATATAGCGTTACACCTTTCCTTTTTATGTGTGCATCCATCCATCTACCGGCCCACACGCCCATCTACCTATACATTTACAGGTGTACCCATGTATCAACCCATCTTCTCCCAGATCTAGACCACAGCGTTTCCAAATATGCATGTACGTGTGTATATATTTATATATGTATATATATATAAATTGCCGTGCCACTGCACGGGTTATATCGGATATTCAAACACGTGTATACAGACCCAGGGGCAGCTGGGCAGCTGGGCGTGGCACTAAATGGGGGGGGAACTGGGCGTGGCTAAATGGGGGGGTCATCAATGGGGGGGTCAGAAACGGTCCCCTTTCGTGCCCCTTTCGGGCCCCTCTGGAGCCTCATGGGGGCTCCTTTAAGTACAGTTTGGGTACCTTTGCGGACCACCCTCGCCGCCCCCCATGTATGACTCCCCCAATACGCAACGCCCAAGGTAGTCTGGGGAGCTGAGTTCCGGCACGGGGGTCACGAAGAAAGGCCCGGGGTTGAGGAACAGGCATGGGGAAAAGGACGAGAAGTCCTGAGTCCAGGACCGTAGTCACATGTTCTGTGAAAGCTGTGCCTACCGTTAGGTCGGGCATGTCCTCCGACAGGCCGATTAAGGACGAAAAACCATTGACTGCGTGGAACTCCCCATATGTGCATATATTCGCATGGACCTGTCCGCCGTAAATGTCTAGGCGCAACAACTTTCGAATATAAACGGGCTTCAGTTGTGACGGTCTGGTCAGGAATCTAACTGAAAATGAATTGGAGTGTGAATGAGCCTCAGTAGTACGAGCGCGTCTCTGCGCAGGAGCCTGGGTCCTCCTGGGGCCTCCTGGGGCCTCCTGGGGCCTCCTGGGGCCTCCTGGGGCTTCCTGTAACCTACTGGGGCTTCCTGGGGCCTCCAGGAGCCTCTTGGGGCCCCCTGGGACTTCCTAGGGAGGATTCGTGCCCCAGGAGAGGCCCAATCTATAGCACCAGACGTACATAAACATTGCGGATTGGAGCCGCAGGAGAAGGGGGCACTGTATAGGAACACGCGTAAAACACCAAGGACTCGTGCCCCAGGAGAGGCCCTATAGGAACATAAATCATAAGTACACAGGAGAAGGACAATCTATATAAACATACGTATAACATCAAGGATTCGTGCTCCAGGTGAGGCCCAATCTATAGGAGCATACGTAACCCACATGGGATTGGAGCCACTCCCGTTGCCTTCTGAAGCCTCCTGCTCCTGGGGCCTCTCGGGGCCTCCTGTTACCTTTCCGAGACCTCATGGCGCTTCCTCTGGCCTCCTGAGGCCTCCTGTGGCTTCCTGAGGCATCCGGAGCTTCCTGGGGCCTCCTAGAGCCTCTTGGGACATCCTGTGGCCTCTTGAATCTTTCTGTAGCCTCCTGATGCCTCCTTGGGCCTTATGTGGTCTCCTGGGGCCTCCTGGAGCCTGCCGGAGCCTCCTGTGGCATCCTGAAGAGAATCTGTGCCCACGAGCCTGGCCACCGATCGAGACATCCTCAAAATCTTGCCCACCTGGGGGGTGAAAGTGAGCACCTCGCTCGAGACATCCTCCAAATCTGCTCCGACCGCGAAAGATGTTGGGACAGAAAACGAGCAAACCGATGGAAACATCCCCACAAAACGGCTGCGAACGTGACCGTGAGATAACCCCTGGCGGCTCCCCTTAGGTGGGGGGTGAAACTGAGCGCCTCGCTCGAGACATCCTCCAAATCTGTTCGAAAAGCAAAGAATGTTGGGACAAAAAACAGCCAAACCGCTTGAGTCATCCCCACAAAATGGCTGCGAACGGGACTGTGAGATAACCCCTGGCGGCTCCCCTTAGGGGGGTGAAAATGAGCGCCTCGCTCGAGACATCCTCCAAATCTGCTCGGAAAACGGAAGATGCTGGGACAGAAAATAACTCGACGCGGGGCCCCCCATATGTGCATCTCATGATCTTGGTACGTATTTCTATTGATATCTGTCAATGAGCGCCTGCGTGCGAGGGCGAACGGCTCGCTCGAGACATTCCCACAGTCTGCAAGCATGAGTGCGACCAGTAGCAAATCTGAGAGCGACTGATTCTGAGTGTGAGTTAATCTGGGTGCGATTGAGCCTGGGTTTGAGTGGGTATGCGTGTGAGAAAAAATGAGCGCGAGTGCGTCTGTGTGCGAATGGGTCTGAATATGGACGAATCTGAGTGTGAGCCAGTCTGTGATTGAGCGGATCGTAGCATGATGCGTCTGAGCCTGAGTGAGTCTGGGCTTGAGTGGGTCTGAGGTGTGAGAAAAATGTGTGTGTTAATGAATCTGAATGCGAGTGCGCCGGGTGTGATTGGGTATGGATGCGAGGCAGTCTGAGTGTGAGCCGGTCTGCGTTTGAGCGGACCGAAGGATGATGAGTCTGAATCGGAGCAAGTCTGAGTATGAGTGGTTCTGAGCGTGAGTCTGTGTGAGTAAGTTTAAATATGGATATGAGCGAGTATGAGTGCGAGTGAACCTGCGTGTGACTGAATCTGAGTATGAGTGAGTATGAATGCAGAAGAGTGAAGGAGAGCGGAGAGCGAAGGAGAGTGAGGCGGAAGCGTTGGAGCAAAACCTGAAGCCTTGGAACATCAAACCTCGATCGTCTGGCCCTGGCTACTCGAGTTGCCCACGTCCTCCTCCTCCTCCTCCTCCTCCTCCTCCTCCTCCTCCTCCTCATCATCATCATCATCATCATCATCATCATCATCATCAATCTCATCATTCATTCATCATCATCATCATCCCCTCATCATCCGCCTTTCCTGCTTCTGCTCCTACCGTGTGTCATAATGCTGTCCCTCCTTCTCCTCCTCCTCCTCCTTCTCCTACGTCCCTTCCTCCTCCTCCTCGATTCCTCCTTCTCTTCCTCCTCCTCCTCCTCCTCCTCCTCCTCCTCCTCCTCCTCCTCCTCCTCCTCCTCCTCCTCCTCCTCCTCCTCCTCCTCCTCCTCCTCCTCCTCCTCCTCTTTGGGAGTGCTGGAACCAGCAAATCGCCTGAGACATCCTCCCAAAACTGCTCCGACAACAACAGATGCCCAGCATCATAACGGCCAGACCGCCTGAGACATCCCCGCAAACTGGGCGCGAACGTCCTCCAAATCTGCACCGAAAGCGAACATGTTGGAAGAGAAAATGGCCAAACCGCCTGAGACATCCCCACAACATCCAACGAAACGGGCCAAGTGAAATACCTCCCCGTCGCTCCCCTTAGAGTGCTGAAACCAGCGAATCGCCTGAGACATCCTCCAAATCTGCTCCGAACGCGAAACATGTTGGAAGAGAAAATGACAAAACCGCATGAGACATCTCCACAAAATCCCGCGAAAGGGGCCGAGTGAAATACCCCCCCGCCGCTCCCCTTCGAGTGCTGAAACCAGCGAATCGCCTGAGACATCCTTCAAATCTGCTCCGAAAGCGAAACATGTTGGAGGAGAATAACGCAAAACCGCCTGAGACATCCCCACAAAATCCCGCGAAAGGGGCCGAGGGAAATACCCCCCCGCCGCTCCCCTTAGGAGTGCTGAAACCAACGAATCGCCTGAGACATCCTCGCAAACTGCTCCGAAAGCGAAACATGTTGGAAGAGAAATGGCCAAACCGCCTGAAACATCCCCACAAAAATCAGCGAACGGGGCCGAAGGAAATACCACCCCGCCGCTCCCCTTAGGAGTGCTGAAGCCACAGAATCGCCTGACACATCCTCAACATCAGTGTGTGTGTGTGTCAATCATCC